TCAACAAGATACTGGCATTTCATTTATCCTGCTTAGAGCATTTTAAAACTACATTTCCACTAGTTTCTGCCTCCCTGTGTAAGGCCTGTCTAGTGGGACATCACCTGCCAGCCCTGGACTGAGCTGTGGTTGCCAAAGCAGAGTATGGGGGCTCTCTTCTGGTGGTCCAGGCAGCCTGAGGTGAGGATGGAGGAGGAGGGAGAGAGCAAGGGTGAGTCGCCTGAAACCAGTGTGAGCCTGTGTGTGAGGGATCAGGGACCCCCCAGCACTCGACTTGGCTGGGATCCCAACCGCTACTTCAGCCACGGAAGGGTGGAGGCTTCCTAAGGGGCTGCTGTCATTGTCCACTCTGCACACGGCGCTTCGTAAACCCAGCAACCTCCTGACTGCTCCCACAGCCCCATCTTCATTTCTAGTTAACTGCCAAACAGCAACCTAAATCCTTAAATTTAACTGAAGGCCTTGAGCAGCAGATGACTTACCCCAAACCCTAGTTTAGTTGGATCTGGAGAAGAAATCTAAGAGAAATGAGGATAAACAGGAARAAAAGGAAGTATAAAGAGAAAGACATACACAGGCAGGAGAAGGCAGAGGACCCAAATGCCATTATCACCACCGAGAAGCAGCCTGGGCCCCAAACTTATTCCAAAGGAAGCTAACATTACCATGCTACACGCTGCTATTTCCATTTTTTTTTTTTCAGTTAAAGTGTTTTTATTTTTTGTCTTTCAATTGAGACAAAGGCAAATCAGCTCAAAAAGCCCTCTTGACTCCTTCCAGACTACTCCTCTTCCCTTCCCCTATTCACAACCCGGTGAGGTTGCTGCAATCTCGCATCACCTCAAGTGTGTCTAAAACACTTTCAAGATGCTCACTGCCTACAGAAAACAATCAAACTCAAACCACATTCATAGTTCTAAATAACCTACGTCAATCTACATTTCTAATCTTATTATTGTGTAGAAGTTTTTTTTTGTTTTTTTTTTTTCACATGAACACTGCTTGATCACAAGACAGTCAAAGTCTGGGGTACTGGACAGAAGCACAACACAGGCAGCAATGACTGTGGGTACAGAGTAGGGACACACTGAGGCACAGAATCCTGAGACTGAGAAGTATTGGCCCGTCTGGTAACTTGCTCTTAAGCAGCTTAGAAGAGGACCAAACGATGATAAATATGTGAATTGTAAAAAAAGAGAAAAATTGCAAAAGCAGCCCCTTTCTATTTGAATCACATAAGAATCAGATCAGGTGCAAGACCTCAGCTTTTGAGAATCAGGGCCCATCCCAGTGGTAATGACTCATTACTATGATTCATAAAACCTCGGAAAATGAAGAAGTGCTGGGCCATTGATGTCTTCAAGGCTCTCCAGTAGAACCACAAAAAGAATTCAAAGTTTAATAAGTAAGCAAAGCTTTCTTTAAGGAAAAAAAAGTATAAATGTGTAACAAAACTAGTAGAATTATGAATATATAGAGTGGCTTCAGTTTTTGAAAGTCTTCCACYAAAGACATTCAGAAGAACAACTGAATGCAATGGTGGTGAAACGATGGAAGCAGGAGTTTTCCTAAAATACCTGAAGCCCTGGCATAGACTGTGATATTTCACTGGACTATTACAACCAAGCCTTCCAAAAAAAATTTGTAATCTTTCATGAAAACTGTTAATTAAAATATTAAATATTAGTATTAAAAATAAAAACCGTTGGGGCTGGGGTTGTGGCTCAGCGGTAGAGCGCTCGCCTAGCATGTGCGAGGCCCTGGGTTTGATCCTCAGCACCACATAAAAATCAATAAATGCAATAAAGGTATAAAAAATTTATAAAAAAAAATAAGAACTGTCAAAGGAGGGACAAGGCACACAAAAACAATGATGCATGTGAATAATCTCAAAGTACTCATGAAACACAACTGAATACTCCTCACCTTTTCGGAGTAGCAGGTGGCCTCCCCAAGGGATTACAAAATGGAACCGAAGAGTGACAACCATCCCAGGCAAACTGCAGTCTTACTGCTCCTTGAGAGCTAAAAACGATTTTCCTCCAACCCAGGAAAATAACTTAGGCTTCACACTTTTCTGTGACATCAGTGAGGACAGAAAGAGGCTCCTACTCACACTCCTACACTGTCTGTATTTTATCTAACCACTGAGATGTTATATGACACATGTGTGTACATACAGAGACATCTATAATCATGAAAGAATAAATGATATAAGGAAAGATAAAATCTAGGCTAGCCCAAAGAAATAAACTGATAACTAGCTAAATAAAATAAATTCAATTCAAAGTTGGCAACTTTCCAGGAAAACATGAGTACATTTTTTGGTTTCTATGACAGAAGATTACAGATGACTTGTTTTACACACATCTTTTTTAAAAAGCTCTTTCTCTTAAAAAACACAAGGATTGCTAGGTGAACTATCAGTTTCAATGCGAAAAGGTGAAATTTCATCAACAGGTTTTGTAACAATTCCCCAAATATGTATATTTTTTGGTAGTATGAATTTCTTTTTTTTTTT